TATACTTGACGCTATATGGGACTGCACTGCACGTAACACTGCCGTGAACTGCAAACATACTTGACACAAAGTATTATCATTGGTTACTGTTGTATGGTGTTGACGAAGTATCATGCGAGTTGCTGTGTGGACTTGTTAGTCTTGTTGTCGTCAATGAATGACCTCTGGATGCACGGATTCATCATTGGAATATGTCTTCAATCATTCAGAATGTCAGATATATGTTTGTTTCGTGAAATGTTTCCAGTTTGAAAAAAGGTTTGTTGTGGAATTAAAAGTTCCTTGGATACTGTATCAATGATGCTCGGAAATGTTATGCATAGGACGGATACCAAATGTAACACACAAGTGATAATCCGGACACCCATGACTGTATATCCGGATCGTAAACACTCCTCACTGTGAATGTACGCAAGACCAGCAATTACTAGCATGGTCACTCCCACAGCCTTTGCCTAGCGGCAGCATCAAAGACGCGCAAACATCTGTTGAAAACACGCAACAGCGACATTCACTGGGGATATATCGATCCAAGGTCGTGTGAGCTCATTGAGAACCATCTGGGTGCGCTCCTCGCGCCGACGGGTCTGCACGAAATCGGCTAGAAACAAACCCGGAGTTTACCAACAACATTTTGAATGGTATAGATAGTTTTACGAGTTACTTGAGTCATAGTGGTAGCCAGGTGTCGTGAATTTGAAGTGTTTTGCCAGCGAATGTAAAGAGCAAGATGTATGCACGAAAGTTGCCAAGTGTGTGGAGAGCAATTTGTCATTGGTACCATATACAGCCTCATATCCGAACGTAATCTCGCCGTTCTCGTTATTCGGATCATGCATGCCATTTGTAATTCACCGTCATAATAAGACATCATGAAAAATTCTGATACTGTAAGGGTCTCACCCAATCCTTCATAACCAACCAGTATCCCCATGACACTATCACACGCATCATATCAGTTCTCCGAATGGACCTCACACCGTGAAGGGACGTTGAAGAAACTCAAAGTCACAATTCAAGATGTGGACGGCGAGTGTTCCATGAAGGTATCTGGAAGGAATTCCAAGTGTTACCCAATTGCTGCGCACTATCAATTACCCCTGCGTGCCCTCAATAAGAAATTTGGCCTCTACAAGAAGATCGTCACCCACTTGAACGGCTCTTCCAACTTGCATGCTACCAACTTGCGAAACACTTTTATGTCACTCTTGGGGTATATAAAAGATATTTTTAACGGGTTTATTTCCGATGCTCGCACATCTGCAAATCCGCTCGGATCAGAATTTAGGTCTCCAGCGCTAGACTATTACCTGTGGTTGGATCACAAGGTCGACGGCTTTGATGATGGGTCTCGTGGGCGCCTGAAGATAGAATGGAATGTGACCTTCGAAGGACTGAAGAAAGGAGAGTGCAAGGACATTTTGGAATATCATACGAGTTTCTTCACTCGACTCATTTGTCAGGCTCTGATGCTCAAGGAAGTTGACTGGGGTGCATATCACAAGGCAAAATGCAACGACCACGATTTCTGTGGGGCGATTCAGGGTTGCGGTGAAGGCGACAATATCCAGTCGCTGCTCATTTCTGTCGATGCCTTCATGGATGGTCTCAACACACCTGACAATACGGCTGATGGGACATGCGTTGAAGCTGCAGACATTGGACACCCGGGTAATCAGGCAAGTGTGATAGCAACATGCTTGTACGTCAATTGAGACAAGTAACTCCCACAGCTACCTGGTGCTCTACCGGAAGTCACAACCCCTGGGGATCTCATAGACAATGCCCGTGGGCTGAAGTTGGCAAATGTATGCGATGGCCGTATGGAAGAATACGACCAGGACGTGCAAGAGACTCAATCCACGGAGCACGCAGTACTGTTTCACGGTGCTCGTTTATATTCTAATTGTGAAGTACAAGCAGTGTATTCTTTCCAAGAAGAAACCATTCAAACTGAAATCGAGTACAACGAGCACGCCACACAGTTCCACGGATATGGATCCTGTTCTCATCAGGAAGTACATGCCGTACCTCATATGCAAGACCAAATAACTCAGACTGAAACCGAGACAGCGCACGCAGGGAACCTCGAGGGAAATTACTCCGGTTCTAGCGATGTGTTATATACCGCCATGTCACCGTTCACTGATGAGCATACTGGCCATGAATATCCCGTGTGTCATGCCATCTTGAACCTGTCTTCATTGCCAATACTGACATGTTTGATATAGGTTGATCATCATGATTGGGTACCAGCAAGCATTGATGATTGCTGTTGGGGTGATATGTCAAACGACTTCTCAGGGAGCATGGAGCCGGTGTCTCCAACTGCTTGCGAGAGTTTTATGGTAGTTGCCGGGGACTCGGCACAACATGGGGTCGATATTCCCACTGGAAAGTCCAAACTCTCTGCCAGGAATGTTGATCTGCCTACTCGAACAGAAGATTATGACCCTAGTGTGCCCATGGTGAAATCAGGATCACGAGGGCGTAAGAAAGACTCAATTTCCACAATAAAACCTCAGAGAAAGGGCAGGACGAAGTCTCCATCGGTGCCCGGAAGGCCCGTTGTATTTGCGAAACAACCACTGATGCCAAGAACAAAGGCAGGAGTTACATCTCCACATGTGCGCAAATATACGATCGACGACCTCATGTCCGAGGCTCAGAAGGACAGCAAAAACATTAAACCACACGTAAGTACTCGAAGCCTATTTGGAGAGTCTCATATGATTTTGCCACCTAGGTCCGCGCGTTTTTGCTCGATCCAAAGAGAGATAACTTCATCAGAAAACATATGCAATCGCATCACAATGAGCTGTTAGACGTTGCTAGCTTTATTGCGTCCCTAATGTGCTCGGAAAGGCTGCCAGACAATGTCATACCAGGCGCATCATCATTGATGTCCATCGAGTTTTGGCTTGCTGACATCGCACACAAGTGCAAACAGGCGGCGGATAGTGACAATTTCACGCTGCCACCACTGGTGAGTAACAATCTCTTTTACCTTTGACTATGTTCACTATGTGCGGTGTGCAGGCCCATTGCGTCCTGCTCGAACTTTCTACGCTCACTAGGAAAGATGAGAACTCAGTGCGGAACACATTGCAGACTAGCATCTGGGTGAATACTTTACACGGGCATAAAATCATATTCGCCTGATACTACTGACTGATTGATCGCTCAGGATAAGAATCAGGGCAGCATTGTGAAACCCGTTATTCTTTATTTGTGCAAGCTACGTGGATCTAAGCCTGGTGCAGATGATGACTACGCAAGTGGATTTAAGCTGCTAGCATACATGATGCAAGACAATCAGGTACAGGCTTGAACCACTCCAAGAAGAGCACGGCTACTCTCCTTTAGGACACTCATCCACGGCACAGCGAGTTTCCCCTCACTGCCGTTCTACAAATACATTATATGTAAATCCATTTGCTCACGCAATTTGATGCACAACATTGATATCATACACGTGCAGTAGCATGCAACTGAAGCAGGATATCACCTACACAATCGGAAAATGTACATCTTCTGCGTGGTTTTCACCAGAAGCTGGTGGTAGGATATGTAGGATGCAGTGACAGACATGAAAGTCAAATTGACTGCCAACTGGTTGATCGGATTGCTTACAAACTTTGATGCTTTTAGCTATCACTTCTAACCCACTGATAGTGACCTTGTGATACCAGGTACGGGCAATCCAGAGTATGGCTGGGTACTCAGTCTCATTGCCCCAGATACCTGACCTCGACCCGATTCCCCTTGCGAGACTTAGGCAATATTGTCGAACATTCACTCCTTGTATTGGGCTGAGCTGACTCGCTCGCGCCAAATTTCTTTGGCTGCTCTCAGTGGGCAGTTTTAGCATCATCATTGCCCTTGCAGGGCTTCAAGTTGTGGAAGATGAATGTATTTCTTCGCACACACTGTGGTACAGCTCATTGCTGGGAGCATCACTTGTATTCTTCATTTAAAGAATATTCTATGGCGAGCTGAGCGACAGCTCTTTTGCATCCAATAACCAATTGTACTGAAGGGCCATGCAGAAGATTTGCTCTTCAAAGCAGGCAAAGTGGAGGTAAGTCAGGATTTTCCCGGAATTTCCCGCTCCTGCCAGCGAACGAGTCTCCACCGAACAGGTTGGTAGTACTAGATGTTGAAGCAGGATACTTGTTGGTGAATGTCCACGACATTGGAGCGCCCGTAAAGGCGCGGGCACCATATGATATGCCACACTCTGAGCCAACGGCCCATGGCCCCCATAAGGAGCGACAGCAAGCGGGAAGGTGATGGTAGAAAGCAAAGATAAACGTGGAAGATACAAAATTTGAACTTGCCAGCACGTGATGTTCACACGCTCAAGTTTCGTGGAAAAAATCACCTAAATTAGTGAAACATGGGAAGTGCCCGTGTCGGCAGAAACCTTACTTTAGGTTTTACAGTCTCTTGTTCTTTGAGGGCCGAGAATCGAGAGTTTACGTTCATCGATGGATTCTGCAGTCTCGCTATCTGATTGCATCGTTGTCTCAGCACGTGTTCTGATAGAGTTTCTTGTCTCGCTGCATGCGGTGTCAGCGTCCGCTTCATTGGTATGTTCTCACTTGAGTTTCTCGTCTTCAATGATAGTAGCTCAAATGTGAGCAATTTATTATCATCGATATCCGCGATGTCTCATGCCCGAACATACCAAATCCGCCTCTCTGACACTCTCGATCTCAGACCAACAGGCCGTTAATGAATGTTTCGGCATTGTCGAACAATTCAAACGTCTGATATTGAAGAGGGAGATGCACTCGAAGTTCAAAAATAATCCGGGAATCGGTCTCAGCCTCCACATCACTTACCCAAACCCAGTTCAGGGCAGGATTCAGTCATTTCTTGGAGCTCCTTGACAAAGTCACCACACCTGCCGAATATCGCCTTTGATCAGAAGAAACAGAAGATGGATGGGGAGTTGCCAGGACCAAATTACCTCACGGAAGAGGGGAGCGATTTGAGGAGCGGATAAGACACCAACAGAACTCGCGCAAATGAAAAACGACGGAAGAGCTTGAAATCGAGGAGTCAGAGGAGACAACTGACTGTGTCCGGAGGGGCAAGCATAGCAGGCTTGCCTCCAAGCGTCTTCAATAGTACCCTTGGCTGAAATTGCGGTATTTCATACCTAATAAGAATATCTTGACATGTCAGCACACGTTCTAAAGTACTTTTGAAGGGAAATTCTCGCGTCTCAATCTCTAGTAGGAACGGGACAACACACCATTCAATTTGTAACATATTGAACATCGGTGATTATACCGTTTGGTTGTGCTCATCCACATTCCGTCGAGATCGTTCATTCCCGAGTCAGACTCCAGCAACAGGTAGCTGTGGAAGGTTGCAGGTTGCTAGGAGACGTTGAGGACATAGCAGGAGGTCGATTTCAAGTTCAGATAATGCAAGGGGAAGCAATAAACCTCAATGAGCTGGGGTGGAACTTCAAGAGGGAAGCAGCAGTGTAAGACGGTGCAAAAGGAATTGGACTTTCGAGGTTATAGGTGCTACATTTGCTGAATCTTCCCATACGTCCACTACCGCATCGAAAACATCTCCATTTCAACGACTTCCAGGAGTTCCGAAGTCTTGAAACGTCTCACCTCTCTTCGCTTGGGATGGCCGCCTACTCAGAACTCTCACATCTTCCTTCTCGTCCTGCCGACGAATTTTGTTGCAACACGCAAGGAGGTGGATGAAAACAGACACGGATTTATCCCCGAGGGGAGAAGCTTATTGTGGTCGATGCCCGAGTTGTGTATGATATGGCACACTCCCTCCACCCCCACGTCACTGTCAGACACGTGTACAACTTGTACTACAAAGTTGTCGTAACAAGCAGGAATTGTGTGTTTGGTATCCAACGAAGACTCGCATCAACTTTGCCATTTTAATTGACTACAGTGTTCTACCATGGTAACCTCATAAAAATACAGACACAGAAGATGTGGAAGAATGCAGATGTCCACGGTTAAACGACCAATGAAGCAAGCTCAGCATAGCACTGCTTGTGCACATACTGGGCAGCGGTAATGGACAATATCTTCAGTATCAAGTGTTGGCGCAGATTGCCACAGCCTGTCCTTCCATCCATCTGGGAGTCTGCCAAGCGTCTTCGACTCTTTCAACAGCGCATTTGCTTGCACAAACCTCCCTGAATTTCCGACCACCCCGTAAGGACCCCCTCTGGAGATTGGCATCGTCACAGCCTCAAGGAACTCTTTGTCCAAGTGGACATTGTAGAATGCAGGTGACAGATTGGTCCGAGGATGTGTGTCCACCTTACAATTGAGATCTTCTAGGCAGGTACAATTGAACCAGCATGCACACGTCCTGCAGTACCGCTGTTCTATATTGGGGAAATATAGGCCTCTGGTAAGATCACATCGATTACAGCCACATAGCATGGGCGTGTCATGTTGCGTATTCTGAATGTTGGAGATGGGTGCGGCTTCAGCAGAACACGAAAAATATAGTGTACGTACGCTAAGATGCGCCTCCTGTAGCTTTCCAGACTTGAATGTGATTTTAATTTCCCAGCGACAATACAATGTAGCGGGTGGGATTTGAAATTGCGTGAGATCGGTCTCGTCGTATGTCTTGATGATAGCATGATCTGCCGGCAAGTGAGATGTAATTGGGTCGTCAATCGATCACAACACTCCCACCTTCAATACAATGCATATCTACAAGAGACTTGTGGTCGCTGCGGATAAGCTCGTAGTCTCCTACAAACTCGGCGATGCTACGTTGATACAGTCAGAATCTTCGTAAAAAGGATAAATAGGAAGGTCTGACTCAACACAATTATCCTCTAGGTCTACCCGTCTGTAATACCACTGTATATTAACCCACGCATCCTTGAATGTACTGTATGAGCACCTTAGCTGTGTGCCTATTATTCATACACTCACTTGACTGGTCGGTTCGACGTAAATATCATTTACCCTCCCATACCAATACCCCATGGCAGGGAGGCTTCCATCTTCCACTGGAATCGCCCTTTGATCGTGTGGGAATATCGCCACACTACATGGATGTAAGCATCTTCAGGGACAAGCGACTCAGCATGGAAAATTGAATCGTACTCGTCTCCTTCCTTAACTAGCAAACGTTGAACACCGTCCCTTGTATCCAAATTATCACCCGATGCGTAGACCCCTGTTACGATCATCCCAGTCGAAGGTTAAATATCAACATAAAGAATCGACACAGAAATAAACACACATTCGATGGAGCTATACCTCCGTAGTCGATGCATCTTTGGCTGATGCCGAGCCATTGGTAGCAATGTCCTACCATTGGTATGGGACGTAGAGCTGACAATTGAAGGACGGCAGGACATCGAGGCTGGGATGGAACTGGAGTTGTTTTTTTAGTTGGATCGATTTATATGTGTGTCATGTGTAAGTGTACCGAATAACGCACATAATATAGAACCCATGATCGGCAATTCGGAGAATTGATATCTGCTTGGAATGTAAGTCCGCGTATGAGTGGTGCCGATCGTTCCAGGCTATCCCGTGAATAGTGTCTAGCTATAGATGATCCTTCAGATGCAGCAGTGCAAGTGGTTATCGAAGTCATAGATCACTCGATGCAGTAGTATCGATGTTCATGCTTACTGCACCATTGAGCATGGAGAATAAGAGTAACTTCTGATCCCCAAACGTACTATGCATCAGTCGAAATTGTGCTACAGTACGGAGAAATGCCGGCATCTTGCCAGGCAGCATTGAGTTTGGGACAGTTGTAGATACATGACCATGACAAAGTATATGTTGGCGTGATGAAGCAGGAATTCTACTATTCTGGGAGTTCTGAAAGGGTATTTAGTGCCACACCATAGGTAGTATATAACTGATCATAGGTGATGAGCCGTGGTTTCTCACTTGTCAACTGCAGCTCCTGTTCAATCTCGTCTGTATATGCATCACCTGAGACACTGTCAGCCCTTTGTGATTTCAAAAGCATCCAGCAGCCATGAAATAGTGAGCGGTAGAGTCGTTCAATGCCACTTCTATTGAATGCATCCTCTTCGGAGAACCGTTTCCCCAAGGTACGTTTCATGACCGCATAGAATAGAACAAGGATAAAAGACTCTAGGTCGTGGTGTACACCACGTTCAAGGTGTGCTGGACACACTTTCCCCTTGTCCTTCTTGTCGACCGGGAGCATCTTGTCCAAAAGTTCACCAGCCATGAACAATGTGGTGCCCTAAAAGGAATGTTTAGTGGATCTTGGTAAGTTTCAAAATATATACACCTACGGTGATTTCTGCTCCAGGAGTTCTGGAATTTGAAACGGTTTCCTTGTGAAAGATGCCTCTAGTGTTTTTCTGTCCGACGGAGGGAGTAACATGTTCCAACAAGTCAATTTTTTCAGTCTTAGCTTGTGCTATCCAGGCCAGTTCGAGGTCTGCAACGAACCCTTCCCAACCCTCAGCACAGCCCAGCTGACCAATAAAGATATTTCCTGGGCTCATGTCTCTGTGAAGGATGCCCTTATCTATCCAAAGTGCTTCGTGTCCTACATGTATTATGATTAAAATGGATAAAATAATCGGGTAATGTCAAACCTTTGAGTGCAGCCAAAGAGCCTGTAATGAAGGTTTCACTCATTTCAGCATCCCACAAAGGTCTTCCGATGGTTTTGAGCGTGAGACGATGGAGAACTGGATCGTCACGAACGTGGGCGTCATCTCGAAGAATGGTGGAACGGAGCCAGCCAACTGTTACGACAGCATTTGCGTCCCGTCCGATAGAATGGCGAACGTCATCCCCAAGGCTCAGTGTGGCAACCCCCGGCAGATCAGAAGTGATAAGCCTGTAGACGTCGGATTCACTTTGTCGGGTCTGCGATCTCCATAGTGTTTTTAATACAACAGTCTCACCGTCTTGCAGCGATTCGGCTCGCCATGTAGCCGTGCCGCGGCCTAGTAAAGACATTGAAGACCATATAGGGGCGCCCATGGTCTTCCACCGACGTGTATCGGTCGCTGTACTCATGCTCACCAAGAAGGAGGGATAGTGTTTCTGGTAGTATGTATGTCCGTTTAACAAGGTCGCCGTCTTGTCGTGTCCAAGCTGACATGAAGTCATATGTGTAGTGAGCTGAAGGACTACGTTTATAAGGATGCCAAGATCGGTGTCAATGTGGTAATCGTCGGAAAGGATGACCCCTCTGCGGTCGTACCAACCAAGGCAGAAGTTTGGGCCGTAAATGAAGATACACAGAACATACAGGTGGAATGGTCGGGATGCCAAAATCAGCCTCGCATAATTGGCTCCCTGTGACACTATTTGTCTCACTGTCGTTGCTGATGGCGCATTGGGACCTTTGTTGAATGTGTTTTTGACTTCAACAAACCCACAAATCTCTCTCCACTTGACCCGATTGCTCCCCGGATCAATGCTGGGAGTCAGGGGCTCCGACGTTGGGGGTACTTCCACGAGGGCGAAGTCGGGTTTATTAATAGGAAATGCCATTTTTTCGGCATCGGGAACATGATCGCCCATCGCGACCAACTGCCGATACTGCGAGCGATCATACCCTGTTTTTGTCGCTACTGCACCTTCGATTGTACGAAATATACTTTGCTATAAGATATCCCTCGACATGAGGAGTGTCCAGATTGAAAAAATGCATGCTCACAAGTTGCGGGTATAGATATTTTTCTTCAACTTTGTCCCATACATTTTGCTGAAACTCATTCAAGTCATTCCCAGCCCTGATAGACTCTTCGATTGTTTTGACCACAGTGTCGATACTAGTGATCGACCACGTTGCATAAGCATTGATAGGCTTTTGTGATCGGTATTCGATGTTACCGAGGAGATCCTGCTGATAAGCCGCGCGGGAGTCTCCTGAACTGGCCCTCCCTGCGGCACTATAATTCTGTATCGAACCAGTGTGAGGTTTCACTGGTGTAACGTCGGTACCCATCGGAAACACCTGGGTGGTGAATATTGAACAAGTGGGCACCAGGCTGGACCGTACTTCCTGGGGCTCCTATGACACACTAGCTATAAACTTCGTGCCAATAGATCCAATGCACTAACAGGAAAGTTTTTCGAATACAACAACGCCCGCCATGTGACATGTGACATCGCTCCAACACCAACAATATTTCCGTGCGGCGTGGGAATACCACGTGATGGTTGAAAATCTCGTTTTGCTCTTTTCTCACTCATACTTTGATTTCATTGTTGTAAGCATCCATTGTCGTCCTTACGGGGCATAGAGCCGTCGCTCTGGCATCGTATAAAACCAGACCCTTGTGTTCAGCGCCTGTATGGGCATATGGCTGTCGTCGACAGTCGCATGATGTGTCCGGTTTTTGCATTTTTTTCTACGTGTCCAACTTCCGTCGCTTTGCTGTCGCTCCTTATAGGGGCTTTGAGCTGTCGCTCTGGCATAATGTGATAGGTGACTCTCGTCTTCAGCGCCTTCATAGGTGTAGGACTGTCGTTGACAGTCGCGCGATGTGTCAGTTCGTTTCCAAGCTTTGACTTCACCATGTTGTCTGCGGCCCTCAACAAACTGTGCTATTGATAAGAACACGTGTAGCCGTAAGCGCACAGTGGTATCGTGAACTCCTGTGTTGGTGTCTCCCACCAACAAACAAGCTGCGACTATCTCGAATTCAAATTTACGTGCCGCATCGACCCTGTTAACCACAGGCCACGTCACCGAAAACGCATCTGGAGCTCTGATTTCGCGTGTCTCAGCACACATATCTATTTCAAGGAGGAAGTCCAGTTATTTATGACGCTGCACAATCTACCAGACTATGCTCTTACACCTACACGATGGAAGCTAGCCGAGCACTTGGTGCCCGTCCTTAAGGTACGTTTTACATTGGTGTATTGGTTTATCAATGGCGATGCTAGCCAATCTTATTCAACTTGAACCTTTTCAGTGAGCTGACAAACTTATTCTTAAAAGCTGATGTGCCATTGATTTACGAAGCCATCTCCATAGTGACCGCTTTTTCGATCTGCCGATCTAATGTACGCTGTTCTGGGTCAGGTTGGAGACTATGGGTTTCGTATGGTTATTTCAGATCAGTACCATAGGTCACGACTCCAGGTCTTCTCCGATAAGAAAACTAGCAACTTCTGCTCGGCAGGAGATTCATCAATGCGACGAGGATCCTGCATTGTGATATCCGGCAATAACAGGGGTTACATGTTGTGTAAAGGAATAGAAATCCACGAGGAACAGGACCTTTAGAGATAGGAACGATGCGTTCTCGAACACGCTTACAGTGGGCTTGCGACGCCTTGACTTCAGAATGGAGTTCGCTTCGTTCGTGAGCGTGACTTATATGCTCTTTAATAAGATATCCATCACAATGGCACTTGTCTTATTGATATGATGTGTTTGGTCTCTGGTGTTCTTTCAGCACTTGCATTTGGTGTGTTTTATTTGGCCAGCGATTTAATATGTGGGGCCATGCTATGAGATCCCTGTGTCCCGTGGATCATTCAACATGTGTTTGATCATGCGTATTGAGAGTACAATGTTGGGCTCTGTTCGTTCGTATCTAGTCAAGTGAATCGAGGTCAGCAGACGGGACACTGAGCTAGTAAGAATTCATGATCTTGGTTTCTGATGGGAACTCTCGTGAATGTAGCAAGTACGTAGTAGGAATATATTCTACTTGCAATATCGGAAGGTATCTTTGAATGGAAACAAAACATGCACGTATGCATGGGACTCGTGACTCGTTCATTATGGTAAGTAGGATACTAAACATAAAGATGGGCATCTTTCGTATCGTAGCAGACAGTGGAGGCGTTCAGATGTGGTTGTTGTAGGATAGAAATTCATGCCGGCTATGCAGAGAGAGGCCGAGAATGCAAGGTTGATTTGAGTTTCGGTCACGCAAAACCGCAGCTCATGGCAGATTAAGACTTGTCAAACATACTAGTACATCATACCCTCGAAAGATGGGTGGAAGGCGGAAGAGGTGTGCCACCAAGGTATGAGGTTTGTGACTCGGCGGAGAGCTGGTTATGATAGGTTGCAATGTGATGTGTGAAATCCATCTTGATGGCATGTGAATTAGCAGATCCAGTGACAGAGTACAAATTCATTAATAGTGGATGACCGGGTGAGGGCGATGACATGGACACTAGTGAATGAGCAGGGCCTGCAGCAATATAGAGTTTGCCTTCAAGAATCAACTTAAAACTTGCAGCTTAACATTGAAATGTCGATTTATTGCACCGTCTCTGAAGCTAGCGCTGATCTGAGCGCACCCATCCAATTCGAACTTTGGAAAAGACACAGATTTGCCATTGCGGAGGCTGTTGCATGGTCCACATATCGAAAGGCTTGAATTTCTGGGTCATACTCAATGTACTCGTATTCCGAAAGTACACCCACGTACATATGCAATAAGCACAACATCAACTCTTGAAATCTTTATATTATCGTAGGAGCATAATTCGTTGATACCAAAGCCTATGGCCAAGTACAAGGAGCTCGAGAAGGACTACTAGATCTCATACGTCGTTGAGGGTGCTTCTTAAAATGTTGCAGAGGAGCTGCAGTAAGTCTTTTATGTTGTACTCAGGTTTCAGGTATGAGATATCAACACTCTCACAGTGTGTGTTACTCTCAATTCTGTTGTTTACACTGGCTACGTGAGATATGCTTTACCGGCAGATCAACTACGGGCAGGAGGTGTCCTCGTAAAACAAGGGAAACGACGGCCTGGAGTGCATACGCTGATATCGTCACAGGGCACAATCTGTAGGGTTAATTTCGTGCATCCTGTAGCATCAAACTCAATCTGTGACGTGTTAACTCCTTGGTCACAACCCTTCATGCGGCTCGACTCTCCCGACACCATTCTATCCTCTATGGACGCATCCATAACCTACACATCACCGCTGGTAGTCTCCTATGGTGCTAATTTGCCCACCTTACTTGAATACGAGTCTGCTGACAGCAGTGGCCATCATGTCTGAATTCTGTAAAAGGTAAGAATCAGGTTTCATGACATCGTCTGTGTGCTCATCTCAAGCAATTCAGCTGCACAAACTTGTTGAAGCAGGTATTTCTCTAGATGAGCTATATCAGCTCTTGACATAGCCTAGGATCCCTCAGAGGATGCATACAATGCTCTGTTCGATTGGTGAACATGGTGGAACCGGAACAGGCTTTGTTCAAGTATCAATAACGCTATCTCCTGCCAGGTTGATCTGATGAAGCATCGCATTTTAATTGGAAGAAAGTGGATCAGAATGTGTCCAGATGAGTCTGCCGCAAATTTGTTCTATCTTCAAGTCTGCGATGCCCTTGTTGGAAGTATGACTTGATTGATTGCGAGGTTGTCGTCATTTCGGTGGCTATGACAGACAAAAACAACGACTGAGCAGAATTCCAAATGTTGTGCAAACAGCTTGTTTATTTGTACCATTGCTTTTGTGAGTGCATTCGTGTTAACCATCCTCTAGATATCGATCAATAACATGTCCAATTGTTCTATCTCAACTATGGAGATAATCAACACAATCTAGATCAACCGCTGTGCGTTGGGAACGTCGACCTGATCCACTGCTATGAGTGCTCAGGCGCTGATCTTGTGTATAGCTATTCTGCGGAGGTGAAGGCATTCTACATGCAGAAGATGCCAAGGAAAGAGTGAGAGCAGGGCTAGATGTACGCAGAGAGCTATGGACTTTTGACGCCAAGCGTCACAGACATCGTCGGTATGTGAAATTCTGAACTGCCGCGCACTGCTACCTATGACTAAATACGCAAAATGCGGCTCAATGAGGGCAAAAGTGCCAGGGTATCAACTCTTCCCCTTATTACTGGTTCACTGACCAGTGCAAATATGGTATTTTCCAACATGGCGGGTATGGATTTGGCATTAGAATCATTGAAATAGGTAATGTACAACCGGTAAGAAGAATACCCTGCGCCTTCGACTGCAACTGCATATACAACCCGGGTTCCTGCCACGCCTAACATGTATGGAATTCCAAGCCCCGAGCAATGGCAATGCATTGGGCCCCACATATCTCATGAAAGTGTGATGAAGTCAATCCACTGCGGAGGAACATACAAGTCAAACACTCTTGCGGACATAACAGGTATTTTGCCGTGGATGGCATTCCATGTGCAGATTACGCGATATTTTGGGTTCGTTGTCCATATCCATTGATTTTGTGATGTTGAGAAATGTGTAGAGGTCACAGATGTGTGAGTGAGAGTGGGAGTGGGAAAAACAAGGTCTCCGCAGACGAGACTGGGCAGAAAAAACCTATCCAATTGCTGTGCTGACCTCAATGAACCTAAGTCCGATGTCTCCACCTTGCTGCCTTCTTTGCCTGTTCATCCGCTACCCTCGTTCCCTGGAATGCCCTGGCGTCCATCTAATGATCAGGTCAGGAGAGCGAGATCCTTGGGTGTCCAAGCGCCTGCATGCTAGATCATTGTCAATGCGGTTGATCCAACGATCATGCCATTACTGCATGAGGTGGCATGGGTCATCCCCCACACGTTGGCAGGGAAGTAATGCCGAGATAATTTCAAGCAAGAGCGTCAATGATAACCAGCCACCATGGTCTTCATTTGGCGACATGTATATTGTTAATAAATTGTATCGGTCCAAGAAGCTAAGGTTATCACCCGCGTTATCCCCTGCTGTGTTATGAAGATGTGAGGACTATCTGAGTATTTAGCAAATGCTCTTGAGGATTGAAGACATTGCGCACACCTTCTAATTGAGCCTCAAGTGGAAAATGTAGTGGGCGAAGGTGTCGGGCAGGGGTTCTAAGTTCTTACAACAGCGTGTCGGATACAGTGTCAATGGAAGTAATGTATTCATATAGGATGAAGAGACAGAGCACGAGGTGTCCTTAACGGAGTGATTACACATCACTCGCTTATGATCACTATACCTTGATATATGCACTCGTTATCATATGATCTACCACATTGTACGCGTGCAATACATGTTCAGGTATCTAATGGTTGAAGGATATCTGGATATGTCGTGTCTGTGGCTCACCCTGCCTACCAAGGAAGGACAGATGCGATCAGTGAGTGATGCCGATGTCTTGCCTCTGAGAGAGACTGAGTGGCCATCAGTACGAAACGCATCCAAAATTTTCAGCATCGGCTCTATGGATCCAATCTGGACAGGAGATGTGCCGGCGAACAGTGTGGCACTGGAGGCACTCATACTTCATTTTCGTGTGTATCCAATGCTTCCCATGAAGCTGCTTCCCGTCAGGATGAAAAATCATGTTGTGGGCTGGAGTGCCACAGGAACACTGATAAATGTCGAGGCCCCAAGGTCTACCATCCTTAAAATTTGAGTATGCCAACACCCTAGTATCGAACACGCGCTGTCGCTCATTTTCTGTGCCTATCTTGGTTTCCGCAAATGACAACATGATGGGGGAACTGTTCAGGGCGTGCCTGTCCTCGCCGAAAGATTGCTCTAGCGCAGTCCAAAACTTTATGTCGTATACGAACACATTTTCGATGAAGCGATTGACGGCAGGTACTACGAGTGTGTCGATAATTGACACACCAGCGAAGGACAACATGAAATCAAAGATATCACTAAATGGAATATTCTCGTGTGTCAGAGCCGAGGTAAACTCAATTCAGATATAAACATAACATACAGCTCAACGAGGCGCTTCAGCGAATTGACACTTTCAGTCACTCTGCCCGTTGATCCGCACGTGCACACGACTAGGCCACGAATGCATGGACCCACGTCACCTGCCTTGTTGATCTCACGCATTGCTTGCGTCGCGAGTTTCAAGTTATCTCCCAAGTAGTTTTGAAGAAGCTGGACGGAAAATAATTAGTGTGCTCATATGAGGTTGGCATGTAAGCTTCACTGACCTCATGCATAGGCACCGAATTCGAGTTTGCTGCATTTCCAGATACAACGAGATTACCGGTGGTAGTATCCGAATGAGTGTCAATGAACACCAGGAGATTTCCCTGGTAGTTGAGCCTGGCAAGCCAGTCAAAATGAGGCTTGACAGCGTTAGGGCGATTGTTTCCACCTCTAAGCTTCCGGGAGATGGTGCGCAGCTGGGGATCACTGCCATTAGATACGATGCTTCCATGGTCACAGGCATGTCTTACCCTTGTATAGTCAAGATGAAAGTGTTCCTCAAGGGTCCTTTTAATGACATCCGCAGCGAATTCACGGCCAAAGCCGCTCCAGGACAGGAAGACCGCCAGAAGAGGGAAATAGTTCCGGTGAATGAATTCCTGTCTTACCGCGTATCCTCTTATGCTGTTACCTGAGGGCATCGAAATGTCGTTTCCGTGACCCTGACCTCCTCCGTAAGATCATCTGGAGAAGCATCGACACAACCGTGGTCCCCCTTCGCCTTACCGACACACACAGGGATCTTGCAACTTTCATTCGTACAAATCCAGATAAAAGAACCAATGTCCTGACAGTAGATACAATGCTGGAGGATTTGTTAATAACTTCCCTGTCGTTAGATGTGAATAATGCGTACTATTATTGGATCTTTGACCATCTCTGAGTCATCATCCTGCCCCTGATGTTGATCATCATCTTGATCCATGACTACATCGTCATCATCGTTGGAAAGAATGGGCGTCATTTTCTTATACGGCGAGTCAAAACTTTTTGCTTTCGGGTTGCGTTTCCCACGTGGTTTGCCTTTGTCCACTGAAGGTAGTTGCTGGATCGTCCTCTGCTTTCCGGGTGCCTTGGAAGGTAGGCTATGGGCAACGAACGAACGCCTGTTGAGCATTGTGAAAGTTCATGTATTGTGTACGGACTGTCTATTGGAGACTAGGTTCTTTGCTTCTATGCCGACTTTTTTGTCGACTGCACGTGACATAAATAATAAACCCACGGTATGGCGCTCAGCGGACCTGTTCGTTGAAGCTAAGTTTGAACTATTCTACACACAAAAATAAAACACACACACACACACACACACACACACACACACACACACACACACACACACACACACACACACACACACAGTCACTCGTTGGCATATACATCTTACCTATACGAAAGCATTTATAGTACAACACAATCAGATCTGACATGATTCAACAACTACAACGTTGCAGGCGATAAGCGATTCATATTGTAAACGAGGCTAGTGATGAAGGGGTTGCTGGCATTGTACCTTGTCATTGCTCGGTGATATCAGCAAGCTTAGAACTGATCCTTTTGCTCATGGTCAACTATGTACGGCATTGTCCTATGTCAAAAGCAGTCGAGATACGCTGTGCTGACTCTCAGGAGCAAATGAATATAGTGTACAAAGGTCTGCTTTGCCAGTGAAATAACATGAGTATGCCAATAAAAAGCAACGACCAAAGGTCACTGCTTGTAACACATGTAACACACAAGACATGGCACACAAGACACTACGTTCCTTCTGCTGTCTGGCTAATGCCTCGCTCTAGTCAGCGAAGTGGTCATCAGTTAAATTCGCGATAAAACTTACATTTATAGATTCTTGCGGTATACATTATACACCCACATTGGACCCATATCTGGCACGCGACGAGGCACGACAGGAATGCGACCAATGTAGTCAAAATGAGTTTGCGCATAGAAGGCGAAGACATTCAGCTCTGTCTCCTCGAACGAGTATTCATTTTCTGTTGGAACTGGTGTCTTGAGGTGGTCAGGGAACTTAGGCCAGGCCGACATGAGCTGCTGGAAACCTTCCACATGCTTCACCCGCAGGTTCCATCTTTCTGACCCAAAGGACCTTCGGACCTGAGGTGATTATTTGAGATCTCGACTTCAGAGATGAGAGTCAAAATATTCACCAATGGCATCGGAGTGTTGACCTCCTGCTTACCACAGAGCGTGTAAACTTCCTCGCTACGTAGTGAACTGTAGACATCGGCAGAATCATGACATCGCCTAAACAATGCATCCAGCCACAACACGTCGTCGGCGAAGTTGTTTTCACACAATTCCCATATGACTTGAGGTATGATGGACAGAGGGATGTTTAGTAGGTCTTTGAGTTGAAACACGAGCCCATGAAACTCGAAGGTTTTTGCCAAACAGCCATTGAACTGAACGTCCACCCAGTTGAACACATGCTTGGCCTCCGGTGCATCGTCCTTGAACGCATCCAAAGCTTGCTCACGTATCTCCCTCGCCTCGCCTTCATCTATACCACCCGCACGGTACATTATGGAATAGATCCTTGAATCTGGGGGAAATCTCCTCAACTGCTTCTCCACCGACAAGCTGTCCAGGAACTCCTTCCAGTATGTAGAACGGAAGAGCGCTCTACAATTGACAAGCACCAGCCAAGATCGGCAACTGAAATAATGGACGAGGTACCTGGCCTGGTGCACGGGGCTCTCTGTGCGAGTGAAAAGAGCAGGGTTGGGCCACCGAAATCCTGCACCAACTCCAGGCAGCACTTTGATGTGAGAAGGCGACCTGTCAACCATCTTCAAGGCATTGATCCATTGAGGGATAGCCGGAGGTACATGATCTCCAGACAGGTCTTTCCACGGAGAATTTATCCTCGATGGTGTGGAAAACATTGTATTGGCCATAGTAGTGCGGAAGCTGAGTGCTGAAGAATCGCCGATACAATTGTTGATGGCATATTTGGCTGTGTCAGCAGGCCTGATCTCACCAAGAGAACCATCTGTTTCACGACTATACTCCAGCCCATCAGCGTCCTCGTGCTCACGATTAGAGTAATCTCTGACAACCGCAGACGATGTGCCATACACCGTGGAACTCTCCGCCATCACAGGACCTGTGACAACTGATCTTGTATCATGCGGCACAGAGGAAGAACTACACCCATCATCAACGGGAGATTCATGTACGATCGAACATGGAAATGCGGTATTATCCACTGGGATGTTTGTGCTGAGTTGGTCATTGAGAGCTGGGGTAATACAGTTCGATGCTGGTGTTACAGCGGAGGTGATATTCTGCGGTATGTCTTGCACAGGCATTGGGTGAATATCAAGTCTAGAACATTTTTCAATCCCTCGGCCACCATCCTTCTAGTAATCAGCATCCGAAAAAATGAAGGCCAATGGAACTGACCTTTGGTGGAGAATGGGGTTGGTCATTCATTGAATACACACACAAGGTAAACAAGGAGTATACACAAATTACAAGAAGCACCGACCTCATCCATTGGCAGAAATCCGTGCATCAAATGTTTGTGCGGCTGTGTGACAGCATCCTTAACCATGTAAGGGAGTTCTGCCATATTGATATCATGATTCTCCTCGCTCTCGGCGGGGTGTACTGATGGCCGTGATCCTCTCTCCGTCGCAATAGTGAGGTCGGCATTGGAGCCAATTCTGATGGTGCTTCCATCCTCATCCAATAGATTGGTGCCTTTGTTGTAGGTATTGTGCCCGATCAAACATTCGCCAGCCTTATCCTCATCTACATGAACAACACCCTCGAGCTGTGTGACTGTCACCTGCTGGGTGTTTGTAATCTCCGTGATATGGCCGGTAGTGTGTTCCACAGTTGCCCGAGCGATCATTTCCTGGATAGATAACAAATGGCGGAATGACCCACCGCACATGTTGTTTCCGCCCTTACAGAATGTGTCGTGGATTCTTGTGCTATCCACTGGCAGAAGTGTCGGAGGGGGAGCTGCTCACAGATATATATGACTCACGCCGTTTGACCAGGAAGCATCTCTTCTTCTTCTCGGTGAAGTCATTCCAAGAGAGCTTTATTGATTCCAGTGCAATGGCCTGCTGCTCCTCGGTTAGCGAGTTGTTGCTGAATGCCATGGTGAAGTGATAGTCAAGGCAAGTTGACCACCAATTGCTGCGTGTGCATGGGGCATAAATCATGACTTCTTCACGGAATGCCACAAGCACATCAATGAAATACGCCAAGATCGACACGTAGAATTCTATGTCATCGTTGATGGCCTGAGATGGTGAAAGTGACATCAAAACCTTTGCGGCCCCTTGGTACAGGTGGAGCTGGTGAACAAGGGCCATGACTGCATCGCAGCACTCTTTTGGCACATTCGTCTACGGAACGCACTGTTTGATGTCACGCTTACAGTTAAGACCTCTGCTTCTCACCTGTTCCAGGCCGACTGACAGGGTGAGCGTGTTCCTGCTCGTTTCCAATGACACTTCGCAGAACACGACCTGATCTATGAATGCCCTCGGATGTGGCTGTATGATGAGCTGGATGGGCTCATGTATGTGGTGTAGTTTCTGATGCATAACGTGGTCGAGTCGGACAGTTGTTCCTGGACCAAACAAGTTTAGGAGGATTTAAGAGACAAGTTTCGGTATCAGGTTTTCCTATGTCCGTTTCTCACGCCACTCTTCTATTTCTTGGCCGAGTTGTCACACCTACAAGCGGTCATGTCCCTGACTGTGCTTGTCCGATTATCTATTGTTGTCTACGGTTACTCATGTTCGATCTCACCTGTTTGTCTATACATGGCGTTGTCGGCACTCTTATGGGCGTGATAACTGCACTGTATGTGTTCATTTCGTGGTATTCTTTTATCTCCAACTCTCCTCCATCTTTCCTCTCCCTTCAGTTCAATTCCTGTATGTGCGCTGGTCCCTCGTGCCGTTCGTATACACTGTACATTGACCTTTTTCCATCCATGATCCTTTAGGGCGGTGTCAGCACTCTTTTGGCCGTGATTTTTGCTCTGTATGTATTCAAATCTTCACCTATCTTGTGGCTTAAGGTGAAGTACACCTGCACCAGCGCTCCTTTGAGGTACCGACCGTACTCTGCAGGTGTGACTCTTTCTCCGTCAAAAGTGAACGCCGTCAGCGGGGTTGTGTGGTGTGTCCTTGACAACTCGTCCAATGCTTCACGCACTGCTATTGTGTACATTGGCCACTCCCCAATGTTGTCATTTTTGAATACATTTTGTCCTCGCTGTCTTTTCATGTCAACGTGTGATTGCATCGGCCTCTCTGCTCACTCACCTGCACAAATTTATGATGAAATTTTAGCCTGAACGTTCTGTCCTCGGCCAGGAACCATCTCGGCCCCATTGACTGCAGAAGGTTCAGCAGCTGTTGCGGAATGTTAATGTAGTTTTTAGGAAGGTACTAAAGCACTTACACACCATGGTCTCGCCATTATCGGCAATATGCAAGACGCAGGGTCCATCTCGGACCAAGAATGAGAGATAATACAGATTTTTCACGGACTTCCCAAAATCTTTTGGGTTGATGATCAAATTAAAAAGGTTGATGGGGCCCTCGTTGTGCAGAATATCTTTCAATTGCTCAAAGTGCATTCAGTCAAAGTACATCTCAGCTCACAGAAATGGGGCACACCTCAATGATCAAAAGGTCATGCCTCGCATTCTCGTCGGCAGACGGGCCTGCCTTCTCAGGCATTTCATGAACTGTGATGTCGCCCACCTCCCTGCCTTGAATATTGTTCCTGGCAGAGTTCAACAGGGGACCACACCTATCATCATTTAAGGCCTGCGGTTCCCAGGAAGGACGTTCGACTTACATGAATATGGGAACAGGAACTCTCCTGTTCTTTGCTAACGCTCTCTGTCCCACACTTTCTCAATCCTGCAAGGTAAAGGATCACGCTATCAGACCAATTCACGGTGTCGGGGTTGCGGCTGCTCTGTGAGGATCCCTCCTCCTCTTAAGTCTCTTGGGGCAGGTACAGTCAGGAGCGAAGGACCGATTCTGTGGGTTGACCTTGGTGAGCTTGGTGTGGATTACAAAAGGCAAGCCCTGTCAGCATTGAAGTCGATGCTTGGCAAACTCTGTCAGACTAACCCACCGTTTTGACTCACGAATCACAGACTGTCGGTGGCTCGTGGTTGTTTGGTGCCATGAGATGGCCTTGTAGGCCGTTATCGGGGTCATCTCTCCATCGCTTTGCCCGAGAACCTGGGCCGAGTTCGGCGTCGAATGACACATTAATAGGCTCTTTTGCCAAATATTGGTCGCCTTCTGCGTCTGGCACCGGAACGCAGGCCCCATCACGTAAGCCAAGACGTATGAAAGTATTGTGCTCTAAGGCTTGGAAGCGGCGAGCTTCAAATGCAAGCTCGACGGCGATGCGTTTGTTGAGTTTTTCGATGGAAACAATATGAGTGATATATAAACCAGTACGAGAGTGGGCACAAGAAACGGCCGCATATGCTGGGAATCCACCCTCGTGCAGGTGCACTATCACCTGAGGTAAGGTTTTACCTTGCGCAGAGTGAGCAGTCACAGCAAAGGTTGGCTAGGAATTTGATAGCGGGTGATGCACAACTTCTGCTGGGTGGCTGGGGAGGATCCTAAGGATGTGGTGAATGTCTATATCGAAGGCATGATGGGGTAGTGACACAATAGCAGCGGTCAGCTTAATTTTGCTGTTGGGAAAGTGAACGGTCTTACAGGTGGCATATGTGATGCCTGCAGGACAGACAGCTGTCCAAATTTTGCAGACAATGCCCTGAGAGCTGTTAGTGATCACTAAGTCTGTCGACAAGTTATGGACCCGGAAGATAACAGGCATACAATGTCACATGGCCCGGAAGTACTAGTGAAGAACATTTCAGCACTGTCACATTTAGCTTGAGCAAAGTTTCGCGTTCTTCTCAGGACAGTTCTTTGGAAGGTGACTTGTCTAATGCACCGCATACAGGCAACGTGTATTAGAACAAGCTGTTGCTGCTTTGTGGGCCTTAAGAACCCCTCGCACAGTGTTTGTATGTACCAACAATAGCTGCAGCGTCACAGTACTCGGCAGACTCCAGATTAATTCTAAGTGGAGCATATGAGTAACACCGTGACCCTTGGCAGCACTTTTTAGAGCTTCTCACGGTTTTCAGACTGGTTTCTTGTTATGCAACAACCTATCTGCGAGACCCACCTATTCAGGGAACTTCCCGCCCATTTCCTCAAGGTTCCAGCAAAATTCCTCTCCAGGTACGTGGCCTTCCTCCGTTGTGAACTGACAAATACCTCCGTAGTGCTTATGCCTTACCCAATAACTCCACGAGGTCTGGGAGGAACATCTAAGGAGGTTTGAGAGGAGTGTCTGCGAGGCTTCCAAGGATCATCAGCGAGGTTTGGGAGGAACATTACGTGATGTTTTGGAGGAATGTTTGCGATGTTTTGGAGGAACGTTTGTGGCCCTCCTGCATGAACCTCCCGTCCATTTCTCAAACTTTAGTCAAATTCCTCTCGAGGTCCATGGCCCTTATCTTCTGTCAACTGAAGCCTTTAGTGCGTGCGCCACGAGTCCATGAGGTCTGGGAGGAATATGCGACGAGGTTTGAGAGGAGCATTGGTGAGGGTTCGTTGGATCGTCTTGCACATTCAAAAGTGTTCTGTAGTATAGATATAATCCTCTTCTTGTCATGCATCAATGAACATTTCACATATATTGGTCCGAGTAATGCGCTCGATGTATTCAAGGATAATAGCGACACGATCAAAAGTATGGCAAGTCAAGGTTCAAAATACATGCATAAGTACGCTGTAAGGGCGAGGTACAAAAAGTGTAGCAGTGCAGAGAACTAGGGGTCGAGGGAGTATGAACATTGTGGTGGGATGAATGATGGCAGGAAAGGGACGGGCAGGAAAAGGAGCAGCAATGAGACAAGATCTATTTGGAGGGCATAAAGACAATCAGGAAAGCCAGAAAGCATAGAAGGAGCGGTAGGATGATGATCAGGTGGCTGGCCATGGAGGGCATGACACTCGAACACAAAATGCAATGACACTCACATAGTAATAAACCAGCGAGTGCAGCTTGCCAATTTTATCTTCACAGGGATGCTGAATCACGAAATCTTGGCTTCACATAGCGCGCTGCATACCTGAATGTCCAATCAGGCTGCGACGAAGAGGCAAGTATATTTCAAACAGAGCTGACATACTAACAACACTCACATAAAACCGCGACAACCGTGTAACTCGTCTTAGCCGGTGGCACATGCACCTATCTTTTCACCTGGCTTGACGAGGTACACCTCCTATAGACCTCCATGTCTGTCTTCTGCCGACAGTTATTCCAGGAAGACCGTGACATACCGCAGGAGTGTCAGTATCTGTCACTGAAACCTGAAGTCAAAGCACAGTATGAAAGACTTACTGCACTCCCCGGCAGGCTCTTCAGAGGCACCCCCAGCGCCATATGTGACCTTGTAGTTCTTCACAAGCTCCTCGTAGCTGTAGGTACTGGATGAATATTGACACTACTTGAAAGAGTTGTAGAAGCAAAAACAATAAATTGTTCACCTGCGCCAAATAGCTCTCACACACAGTCAAGGTTTGAACCAACAGTGCTTGGGATTGGCACGGGTAAACCCGTGGATGCACTGAGGTCAACCCGCACCCGCACCCATCAAGGGTACATACCCCTGGCCACGGGTACGGGTTGACCACGGGTACCGGTGCGGGTCGCTGCGGGTACTTACCCGTCATGGGTACACCCGCGTGCAGCGGAGGTGGTGACACACAAAGCTATGTCAGTAGTATATGAATGTAAATACATGAAAAAATGACTTACATTAACGATGTTTTGAAGACCTTGGGGCACACGTGCGAATGCAAGCGGTGTTGAAGTGCTAACGTGGCCAGTGCTAACACAAGCGCTGGCATGCAAAAGCAGAGGGAGCCATGGAGGTAGGTGCGATGGACTCTGGCGCTAGAGAGCTGGGATCTAGCACAGTCGGACGTTGACAACGCTGGCCCCTCCACTGGTAGATCTCTGGAAATCGAGTTCCTCCCGATAAGAACCAGCCTCGTGAGAAATGTTCACTTCTTGCTCTGTTCCAGGTGGTGTGGAGGAGTGCTGAGGATGCATCAGCAATTTCTGTCAGGAATGTTTCCAGCATCTTCAGTTTTGATACCTACTAACATATATCGAATGCCGGACGGATCCACACGGTCTAGCTGCAACAATTAGGCGACAAGCTCTCGCACCCTCGCAAGTACACTCACCTTTGCGACAGAAATGGGCGCAGCAGGTACCGGGTATCACTGGCCAGTTCAGGCAGGCAGCTCAGACAGAGAACAAAGAGGGTCCACTGGAGAGTGATGGCAGATGCGCGAGACAAGTTCTATGGATGGGAATGCGGGAATTGAGGCGTGGAATAGGCGTTACTTAAGGACTCGGAAGGAAGTTACATCATGATGGTGTTACAAGCTAGAGAGCATCCTGGCCTTTGTATGTTAGCGCTAACGGTAGAGCGAGAGAAAGAATTGAGAATGTGATGAGATCAATCCTCAGGGATAGGAGACGTGAAGAGTGACGTTTGAGTTTGCGTAGCAGAATTGAATGTTAAAGGAGATGTTGAGATCGAATTCTGAGAGAGAGGAATAAAACAAATCACCGTGTGCTCGATTGGAGAGTTAGATGATTTGGTTTTTGTGTGGGAAGGGCTGGTGTTGAACGTTGATCGGCCAAGACAGGTTTTTGCTCGGTGTCTATAAAACTCAGAGTTCTGTGTCTGAAGCTCGGAGTACCCGAAGACGCGTGCATTGAGACAAAAATGTACACGGACCGGGGGGAGGAGAAAGACAAACCTTCGGAGCGCTAAGTGACTTAGTATCGAGAGCAGACGTTGGGTCTGAAGGAGAAGCAATACCAAACCAAAAAGCACTAGGAATATGAAATATTTGGGAGGTGGGAGGGTGGTCTAAAACGAAAGATATTGTACAGAAGGGGAGTATGAAGCCTATATATATGAGTGCTTGCACACGAGAATGAGGATCTCCACATGGGCGCTTACAAAGGCCCTTTTCACATGCGTCAATGTTCGCAGGCTCACGATCCGCTCGGAACGTGCAGTTGCTTATCATAATGAGATTCTACTTATGTAATCGAGTGGTACCTTTTTCTTTAATATTAATATTGATGTGGGGTGATCTGATCGGAACGTCCCGTAAGAGACAATAGGAGACAATATTAATGTCAGTGTCTTAGATCTTATACTTCAGAGACGGTAAAGTTTTCCTGCCAGTGCTCTCCTCCTTTGATTTAATTAATTTAATTTAATTTAATTAAACTAGGAAACGCTACACCTACTACTAGTAGTATAGTTCGAGTGCCAATGAAACAACCGAGCGTGGGAAATATCATAATCATTATCGCGAAAAATAAATCTAATGATGGTTGTCACATGTCACAAGCGGTGTCGAATTGACATGGTGCAAATTCAATAGTCTAGATCATAATATCATAATATCTGCTGCCACCCTCATTGCATCATGCCTAACAGCAAAGGCTCCGCCAAACAGCCAGTCTGCCTCTGCATTGAGGAGCTTGCGCAGGAGGTCAAAGATTCTCTCATATCCCTCCCGTTGTCGCTGGAGTCACAGAAGACCCAAATCTTCCTAGTAAGCAGCACTGAAAAGGTGAGTAGTCGCGTTTTCAAACCACATGCATGATCTAAGGTGTCGCATTGCTTAGCAAAAAGTGCCAAGAGAGTGCCATGATGCAGTTTCGGTCCTGGTTCACCAGTTCCAACTGTATCGGGGTAGCGTAATAGCTCTGATGGCACTTCCAGAATCAGACGGCGTCAAAGAGGACATCGATTTCCACCTAGCCATCACGTTGTACCTTACGGACATTCTAGCCAGGTTTATTGATGAGCTTAGAGCGGATGCTCCTGGTCCACGTACCAAGTGGCGGTCATGCTACCTTGACTTTCACTTCGCAATGGCTTTGGCCAACAACTCGTTCACAAAGGAGCAACAGGCCACTGCACTCAAGACGATCGATCACACGTGGAATGACTTCCAGCAGAAGAAGATATATGCACCAGTACAGCAGCGTGAGTGGTCTTGATTCTGCCCAAGAATGTCTGTGCAACATTTCCTTCAGTTGATCTCGCAAAAATGCATGATGCATTCTGCAAAGATGGGGTCAACGTGTGCGGTTCTTCGCACACTCATCAGTGTTCGCTCAATGAAATGATCGCTCAGGTCATCGAACCACATACTGCCCACAAGCCGGCAGAGGCGAAGGAAATTCAGCAAAAGAAGAATTTGCGGTTTGAAGATATCACTCTGACGGATGTTAACACTTCTCCTGTGGGTGAGGTTCGAAAGACTCGCAAGGATAGCTGCAATGTCAACACCCAGGGTCCTACTGCAGCGGATAAGGCGAAGAGGGCCCGCAAGCCTAACCGCAGTGTCAAAACAATCATTTCACTGGCGGGAAGCTCAACATCGGCGAACAACCCTACTGACATTGAGGAAAATGATAGTGATGAAGTTCAAAATATATATGAGTTGCAGGAGAGCACCAAGAAGCCCCGTAATAAATCCCTTGTCCGGGCCAGGAATAAGAAGACAGTGATGCCCGAAATGATGATCCAGCCGGAGAATGAGGTATGTGTTTCATGCTGAAAACCCGATGTTTCTCATCGTCATTATTGATGGATTGACTTGATGCCCAGAACTGTTCTGACATGGAGGATGTTGTTCTGGGAATGGCAGCGAATCCCTTTGAAACCAAGGAAGTCGGAAAAAGAACCTACAAGTCTACCAAAAATGGACGGCGCACAAGGAACACGACAAATAGTGAGAAAGTGAAGTCCAAGTCTAAGTCTGAGGAGACACTTGAATCCGAAGTTCAGGTGGGTGCATCTTGCAGTGAATCCGGCTTATTAATATATATATTGATCGACCAGCGTGACGCCTCGGACGATTCAGACCTGGAGGATGATGGTATCCAAGAGGTTGCGAAGACGATTGAGGGAGACGGAAAACAGACCCACAAGTCTGCCAAACGCAGACGCAACCGAAAGACTGCGACAAAGGATAAGAAAGCGAAGTCTAAGGAGATGATCGAATCTGAAGATGAGGTGGGTGCTTCTTGCACCTAACCAGGCCCTCGATTGACCGTGTTGATTAGCGCCACTGCGACTTAGACATGACAGTCGCATCAGAATCAGATGTAATAAGTGACATGGTATGACCTCGTTGACATATTCTAACATCTAGCAGGCAGATGCTGGGGAGTACGATCATGTCAAATTCCCCCGTGATTTCGATGACTGGGACACATATATCAAGAAAACCTTCAAGGAGGGCAATTCGCATGTTTTTCTCAAACTTGCCGCATGGATATCCCGTCGCTTCTGTGAGCTCGCAGGTATCGACAAGGACGATGATTTAAACGGATTGGTGATTCCAAAACATCCAGGTTGGTTCGTGTTTGATAGCCATGATCACTTTCTCGAGGCCTTAGGCATGGAACACATGTATGCCGCGACCACGCACATGGACACACACCCTGAATACCTCACATGTGTCTTCCGTCAACTCGGTGAGCTGGAATCAAAAAAAGAAATGGGAAGCAGCCACCCTCAACTGAGGCCTCTTCTGTCCCCACCAACACCAGTTGCAAGGTATGTCACATGCACGCACTATGGCTTAACTCACACTACCATCAGCATGATGTCGGCTCACGAGCTCCCCTGGTTATTGCCATTGGTTCCCAGCACTGACGATACTGATAGTGAATCCGACGGTGACGAGTGTGACATCAATGTTACACATGCCTGTGATAGGATGGACATCGCCAGAGAGGGTGATTCAATGGATCATCGCAAAGGGAATGGTTCGGTAAAGCGTAAACGGACGTCACGGGTGAGCTCAGACTAATTTTAGATATTGACTCATCTTTACATACACTTCCAGGTGGAGCCTGTACTGGCTGCAAAGTGTGTCAAGCGGGGACCTCGACCTACGTCACCAGCCGTGACTTCCACGACTGCATCTATATCATCGTCTGTATCTGACATCACCAAAGCCCTTCTCTTGGAAGAAAGTTTTGGATCGACCAATGAGCCTGCTGACACAGGAGTGGCGGTGACAGACACTGATGGAGATGTGTCTACGAATGAACCACCTGAGACAGAAGAAGCTATTGTAGACATTGTCGAAGGCGCTGCTGGTTCTTTGAGTGAGCCTGTTCATGGGTCAGGTTTCAAGGCTGGATCCGAGCGCATGTCTCCTGAAACGGCAGCCGCTGACGCGGATGTGGGTACAATGATTAGTAATGTGGTGGTGTCAACATCCCTGTTCATGCCTGCCATCCATTTAGAAGCATCACAGTTGATCAGCGACTCCGACATGACGAGTGCATCTAATCCTGGTCACCCGTCCAAGAAGGATGAAGATGTAAGTATGCATTGTCTTCAGTATCACATGTAGTCAGCTGATTACCTAGGATTGGTTTACTGCAATGCTTCATCAGTCCAGCTGACCATCCTTTGTCTCAATCCACGTATTTGTTAAGTACTACTTGATTCTTCATAAATGTTGATATCCAGGCACCTGCAACATTGCTGTATTGTGATCTTCAAATGGCAGCAGAGCAAGCTCGCCTTGTTTCAGAAAGAAAGTTGCAAGATGCAGCTGCCGCTCGAACTGCGTTAAGAAGAGCCCATGAAGAGCATGCAGCACGTCTAGGCAATGCATTGCGGGGCATCAAAGATGCAGGTTTTGGCTCACTTTCAGAATTCTTAGTGGAGATGATGCAAATGACCGATCAGCAACACTGGGCTCATATCTCACGCACTTTGGGATATGTAGTCGGCAACCTCGCATCACCGATTCATGGGCCACAAGCACTGCTTCACGGCTGCTTATTAACGTGGGCAAGAAGCTTGCTGCATTCCTGCATCCGCCTTCAGGTCAAGAAGTGTCTGAGCTTTTGAGCAGTTGGCCGCTCGAGAGAATTCTTGTTGAGGCCGAGAAGCTTGCTCTAACTGTTTGTACCTTCCTCCGTCATATTAACATGGATCTTCGCCTCACATCAGAATGGCGAGACCAAGACCTTGTCTGTATTCCTTGCGTTTGACCACTCTTTACATAGCTAACGTGTGTTAATAGGTTGTTGTCACTGTAATTTGCATGCTTGCACAAGCCCGCAATGAACAAAGCAATGGGTATCAGACAATGATGTATGTGTACTTGCTGGCGTGTGGGGCTTCCCGTTCAATGTTCGATGACCTACATCATGCAGGTATGACATTTTCATACACGAAAGCTATACGTACAATTAAGAAGATGGGGAAAGAGCGAGCAAAGAGGCTCAACGAAATTGCAAAATCGCATCCCTTTCTGCTTGCATGGGATAATCTTAACATTGCAGTTCGAGTTGCCGAAGAGGCGGGACACATTTCCCACCTCTGCCTTTTCGGACTTAGTGAACGTTGTCTGGTTCGACGAGCTATCTCGAATGCGTCTGTGCCCTTCGAGCTGCGTGTGTTTTTTGTGAAGAGCAACTACTCACCAGTGTGCTCTCTCCCCTTATTTTTTGTCTGTGCTCACACTTGTCAACATGGACTCCGAACGGCGGAAACGCGGACGACCAAAACGGAGCAAGAATAAGCCTGGCACTATCGGTGTCACTCACCCACGAAAGGACGGACGGATCCCTGGAACAATGGATAACGTCTCCGCATCAACGGGTAAAGTATTAATGGGTGCGTGATCCGGTTATCAAACTTCACCAGCGCCTGACCATGTTCAATTTAGATATCGAGGCATCTCACTTGCAGGCTGCAGCACCTGTCCTGCCATCGAATGCAGCAGTTGCACATCCACCCCCACCCCCACCCCCAATCACATCCATCTCTCTGACGAGCGTGTACACCTGTCAGCACCACAAACAACCTTTCCTCTCGCAAATGAAAATCCCCAGCCCACATTGACATCCCTGGCGAAAGGGAAACAGCCAGAGCGCAGTTCCTCCATTCCATCTAGAAAGAACTGTGGTACGGACCGTGATGCCTTGGACAGTGAGTCTTTCCTGCCCGAGTTTTCTTGCTGTGCGCTAATACAGTACTGTGGAACAGGCGCTCTGCTTGAAAACCCATATGACTCGGACCTCTTTCGTGCCACAGAGACCATCCCGGTTGATGACGTGGATGATGCTGATGAAGATGAGGACTCGGATGTGGATTTTTGAAGGGAGCCTGATGATGCCATGCCCACATCGAGTAATGTGCCACTCATGAGGTTTGTTCCACGGTCGAGCATGCCCATCTGGCTCTCAAGGCTGGTGCTTTCCTTGCATTATTTTGCTCTTAGCTCATGTCAATATCTAGGTCATGCAACTGTTCGGACAAGTGTGTGGCGTGAAGTCCTTTGATGGACTACATACCACAGTGAACGAGTATAGTGAGATCGTGAGCATAGTTATCACTCAGAACAAGGGGCATGAACAGATCGGTCCAGTGCTGCGTGCTGTGGTTGCTGCTGCGAAAATGTTCGGCCATACCCCCACCGAAGCAGTCTATACAGACTCTGCGAGCAGACTGGCTCGCATACCAGCAATGGTTCCCTTCCCTCCTTCAGAGCGTGGTCCCTGTCCCCAATAGCAGCACCCTCGAGCTGTTTCGAGTGCCAGGCTCCTGACGGACCGTGCATCTCACCAACACGACTCAAGTCGATCTCCGTATTGACAACATAATGGCAATTCATGATGACTCGCACCCTATTGTCGTTGGAATCGGCCTATTGATGTGACCTCTGGTATAGACTCTTCCCTTCATTCAAGACAATCACCTTGCTTTGCCTCACTCATTCTTAACATTCCTCCAATAACCTGTGTAAACGAAGGTTGGAATACGTATCAGGGCAGCATTCAAAAAGTTGCAGGGTGACTGCGGACTTGATATTGCAGACAAGCTGAAAGGGCACATTGAGCTGGGGATCATGGCTGTCGAGCATAATGTAGCGAAGCGTTCATCAATCGGCCTACCTGAGCTTGTGACAACTGTGCTTCGCCGTAGTTTGCAACACGATCCTGTAGTTCATGTCGGCCCTCATTGGGCAAACAAGGAGTTGTCAAAAGTATTTCTCCATCACGCAGTCAATGATGCCTTCACCACACTGCAAGTCCACGACACACTATATACCCTCACAGCTCCACAGCTATCTCACCTGCAACTTCCAGAGGGACACCAGTCACTCTCTACTCGACTGATGATAAACCAGTTGCCCACGGTGCTGTTGCACTTGACCGACCAGCTCAGATCAATGGTGTCAATGTCACAATGACGAGGGTTCCCATGGTCATTACCGAGGTTGTTGCATCAGGATATCTACTTCCTGCGAGCCTCTGTAACTCCCGCAAGGCAACAGCACTCTCCACGATGGGCACAATCCCATTCACTATCGTCTGTGCTGCTCGGCACATGAAGACTCAAAACGTGGAATCACCTTTCGAGTGAGCAGGGTCATGGTCGTCATGTGCCTCACACGATGCTCCCGGTTGTGCCTGTCCACTGAACCCCAAACATGAGAAAGAAGCTTATGACGAGAAATGTCCAATATAGGGTCTACGACCCTAAAGGACTCAATCTGAAGCAAATAAAAATAAAAATTCTCACTCAGACCGGGTCCAGATGCAGGCAGCGTGGAAGATGAATCGGATCCACAGCTCATGGTTGCTGAGCAGGACATTGTCATGTCGCAAGAAGACGCTCGCAGCACTGTGCAAGCTGCTGCTTCAGTATGACGATTTTGACCCATCACTGGAGCATCTGACACTTTCACGTGCCCTTGGAGACCCTTGGCATTTGTATCACCAGTTTCCGATTACTATGCAGCACAGCCTACACCGTCCATTTTTAGGGCCATCAGTGCAGCAATGTTCTCGAACAAGTCTTTCAAAGGTCCGGCATTACATTCGATGCATCACTCCGCTCACATCCAGACTGGGTGCTCCGGCGGGTCAGAAGACACATGCCCTCACCGCAGATAATGCTACCTCGCATCAAATCTGTCATCAAGTCCTATGGTGCGCTGAGATATTCCATATCAAGGCACCCGCTGTTCAATGAGAAGGCACAGGAAGTTGCAGAGAACGTCCTTGAAAACATACGCTGTGGATATTACTCTGATCCTCCAGGTCTGCAGCTATACTACAGCATAGGCAGTGACAAGAATGGCCTTCAGCTGTACAGATGCTGCCGAGGAACGAACTCAGTTGAAGGTGGTGTGCACCATAACTTGATCAGACGGTTTACCTCAATGGATGTTTCTCCCCGCTGTCATATACCATATATCCGGTTACAGATCCAATGATCTGGATCTCAGATCCGATCCAGATCCGATGAACATATCCATCGTCCGGTCCACAGATCCGCTTTGATTCTTATTTCATTTCCTGTTCATATAACTCTAACTATCGTTCATCTCCTTTCGGTATTCCTGTACACCGGTATACCGGTTATCCTTTACTTCCGCTTTGCTTACTGATCCGCTATGCTTACTGATCCGCTATGCTTACTGATCCGCTACACTTACGAATCCGCTTTTACTTACTTTGCTTATACTTTCATACATAGCCTCGCACCTTTGCTTATTGATCATTCCGTTAGCTATCCGTAGTATATAAACCTTTGTATATGCGCTGTAGTAGATCAGTTCAAATATCATCTTAGATTGCACTCATTCCGTCTGGACTCTGAGTCCCTCCGTTATCCATCCGGACTTGAGTACGCTACTCTTGTCTACTCCGAGACTTAGGATAGATTCCTATAGTCTACATATCCGCCTCTGTCTTCGGACAGTCCTCACCCGTTAGTTTCTAGTCCGGATCCGATCCGGATTGGCCGTTACTCTATATACGCGATACTTTAGCTCTCTGAAATAAGGGGCAAGACTCGGGAAAGGGGCACAGCGCACGAGCTGAGGCCGAAGCCCTTCGGATCTGATACTACTTGAGTACGGTCTTAACAGTATATTCGAACTCATACCTTTCCGAGTTACTTAACATCTATCATGCCTCCTACCAAGACACAAACAACTCTGCACGCGGTCGGACTAACCTCCCTCCGTCGTGATCCGACACCTATAGTCAACACCTTCACCAGTTTCTCTCAGCGCCGTGTTAGCGCCCACGGAACCGCTCAAACCATATCCGAACTCCTTAATCGTCGACACCCGGAAACCCCAACACGCACCCCTGCCGTAGGACCTCCGGACGATGATGATCCCGATGATGGTGATGATGATTTCCCTGGTAATCCACCCGATGATAACGGTGGTGACCCGGATGATGATCCGGATGTTGAGGATGATGAAAATGACGGTCTAAACCCACAAGACCGCGTTATGCTTCGACTCTCAGAAGCCATCGATAACCTTGCTCGCAATAATCGTCGCGCGCCCGCATCCGAAGATTCTAGAGTCAAGGTCCGAGAACCGGATACCTTCGACGGATCCGAACCACGGAAGCTCCGTGCGTTCTTTGTCCAGTGTGAGCTTAACTTCCAGAGCAAGCCTAAGGCTTTCCGTACCGGAAGGGCTAAAGTCAACTTCGCCCAATCCTACCTTAAGGGTATGGCCCTTGAATGGTTTGAACCGGATCTCCTGTCCGATGATTTGGACGACCATCCGGATTGGATGGATGACTATTCCGTGTTCATGCTTGAACTCCAAGCCAACTTCGGGCCTCATGACCCATCCGGTGATGCAGAAATGCAGCTCGAACAGCTCCACATGCGCGATGGACAGCGCATCAACAAGTACGTTGTGGAATTCCAGCGTCTTGCTTCACAGGTTCGTGGCTGGGGCGACGGAGCCTTACGACGCCAATTCTACAACGGACTCCCGGCCCGTATCAAGGATGAAATCAGTCGCATGGGTAAACCCTCTACTCTTTCCGAATACAAAGTCCTCGCTCAGACTATCGACGCCCGATACTGGGAACGGAAGGGAGAGATCTCTCGAGAAGCTAAACCCACTTCATCCACTACCCCTAAGCAATCCACTTCTGACCGGACGAACTCCAATACGTCCGGATCCGGAAATCACAAATCCGGAAACTCCCATGATCAGAAGTCTACAAAGCCATCCGCGTCCTCGAACTCGTCCGCTCCTAAAGTTCCGGATCTTACTTCCAAGCTGGGTAAGGACGGAAAGTTAACGTCCGAAGAGCGGCAGAGAAGGATGGACAAGAAACTCTGCTTATTCTGTGGTGGGCCCGGCCATACTGCTCGGGAATGCACCAAGTCTACTTCGCGTGCTGCCAAAGGCCGCGCTGCAGTAGTCGCTCCGGAAGTCAAACCGGATGTCTCTACTGAGACAAAAAAATAGTCCGCGACTCTCCTAGCTCCGTGCAGGAAGAGGGTCGCGTTGACTCTGCCTGCACAAAGGAGTTAAGACTCAATGCTGTCGCGCTCTCGGATCCGACTTCCCTCTGTCCATATGTTTCACTTCCGTTACTTCCATCCGTATCCGAATTTCCAGCTCTTGTAGATTGTGGTTCTTCTCATTGTTTCATAGATACTGCGTTCATCCGAAAACACAAAATCCCTACATATCCGATACCTACGATTCCGCTCCGCTTGTTTGATGGTACTTGTAATAATACTATTTCCAAAGCTATAGATTTGTCCGTCCGCTTTCCGTCCGGTGTAGTCACCTCTGATACGTTCTACGTTACCCCTTTGGATTCATCTTGTTTTATCGTTCTTGGATATAGCTGGCTCACCCGACACAATCCGTTGATTGACTGGGTTTTGGGCAGCATCGAATTCCGGACGACATCTCATGGAATGCCATCGACCCCTCCGACGTCACTTCCGTCCTCGGATATCCCTCCTCCGACGGAAACCATACCTCCTCCGACTACATCCGTACCCTCCGCTGATAACACTGTTCCTAATATATCCCTAATCAATGCAGTTGCCTTTTGCCGGGCCTGCAAGTTAGAAGGATCGGTCCAGTTCAGTATATACCTTCGACCATCCGGTGTCGATCTCCGATCCGCTTCTCTATCGTCCGATCCTCCGGATCTATCCCAAATTCCTTCGGACTATCACGAGTTTGCGGATGTCTTCGACAAGGGAAAGGCTGGTCAGCTTCCTCCACATCGTCCTTATGATCTGAACATAGATCTGGAAGAAGGAACTAGTCCTCCCCTCGGAACTATCTATTCTCTATCCCCGGTCGAGC